ACAATAGTCTATGTTACCTCTTTATGAATCTTCAAATCTTTTATATGTATAAAAAAAACCACCCACCTCACCTCATTTGATTAGAGTTTAACTCAACTTTGGTTGTGTTTGTATCAGTTGTTTCCCCAAATTTCTCTAAGTTCACGACAACCCCAAGAGCTTACAATGTCGGCCCTTCTGTGAAGCCACGAATAATAAAACCTTGGAACGTTTATTAAGCGCACATGTGGAGAGAAAATTCAAAGATGTGATTGTTTCAGCGATAAAGTTTTACATACTGAGAGAGGATATCTCAATTTTATTGTATATCGAACAAATCGATCATCAACTACAAACAGTGTAGGGGTGCAACAACTAGAAAATGTTAAAGAAAACACAGCACTTAGTCCAAGCTGTGGCGGGTAAAGCAAGAACTTTAACCCAAAATCATTGTATAATGCTTCCTTAACTTCATTTTAACAATTATCCACTTAAACCTGTTTTTATTTATTTTTTTGATAAATCGAAACCCAAGACGTTAAAGCAGCCATTTTGGTCACCTTCACGTAGATTGAATGGCCGATTACGTTCCCGTTTCTTCATTCTCAGTTGACGAATTTGACTGAAAATTCCAAATGTTGACTTTATCCGATATCAGAATACAGATGTTCAATGACCTCACAATTATTAGACCAAGTTGGTATGAGCCTTGTCTACTCCAATGCATAGCTATGTCGAACATTTCCTAATTAATTTTTTAAATAAATAAATTAAAAAAGCAATAACATGTAACACATAAAATAATGTTTTTTTTTAAAATTTAAGATAAAATAGTTAGTCAGAGAATGGTTCTACTTTTATGGCCGCGTATGAACCTGCTTGTTTAGTCCATCACTTTTGAGAACATTTTGAATATTTCCTCTAATTTTGGTTTACATGCTTTGTGTCATTGCATTCTGTGTAACTTAAGGTGTGTACTTTCGAATATAGCTCTGTTACACATTTGATTATATGATGTTGCAGTGAAGAAGAAAACCTAACCTATTATACGAATAAACTAAACAGAACATGTTACCTTAGAACTTCCGAAATAAACCAAACACCATGATCCACGCATGGCCGCCCGAGATCGGAGAGAACTATTTCCCCACAATGGCATCCGTACTTTAATAGCTATTTTTTTAAAATGTTAACGAATTTTAAAATTGTAAAGGAATCTAAATTTTGAACTTTGTTCTGTCGTGGATATATTATTACTACAAACATTTTGCTATTGGTTTTTTTAAAGTCTATATTCATCACCGCAAGTGTAATAGAGATGCCTTTTTTGTAAACTTGAAGTGACAAGAGACATGAAAAGACGTACGAAAAGATCTCTATTTAATAGCAAACACGGTTTCTTGAAAATTCAATTGCAATAACAAAAAGTTCCGGAACAATGACAATCCGTGTTACCACCGTCAAGTGGAGTCATAGTTCTTATTGTGTGCACACTTCGTTTTTCTAAGGCTCCATCAATCGCACCGCACTGATCAATGAAGAATAAATGTTATTTCATGACGGGGCATGGCCCGACTCGACAAGATATCCGTTAAAAGACGCCTTAAGCTGAGTTGTCCGCACTCAAAGATAACCACATTTCCGGGAATAATTTTTGATCCCGAGAATTCGTTCCCACTAATAAATGTACACACAACAGCGTTTGATGAGATAGGTTGTGATGCAGAGTGGTATGAGATAGGTTGTGTTGAAGAGTGGTATGAGATAGGTTGTGATAAAGAGTGGTATGACATAGGTTGGGATGCAGAGTGGTATGAGATAGGTTGTGATACAGAGTGGTATGAGATAGGTTGTGATGCAGAGTGGTATGAGATAGGTTGTGAGGCAGAGTGGTATGAGATAGGTTGGGATGCAGAGTGGTATGAGATAGGTTGTGATGCAGAGAGAAATGAGATAGGTTGTGATGCAGAGTGGTATGAGATAGGTTGTGATGCAGAGTGGTATGAGATAGGTTGTGGGGCAGAGTAGTATGAGATAGGTTGTGAGGCAGAGTGGTATGAGATAGGTTGTGATGCAGAGTGGTATGAGATAGGTTGTGATGCAGAGTGGTATGAGATAGGTTGTGAGGCAGAGTGGTATGAGATAGGTTGGGATGCAGAGTGGTATGAGATAGGTTGTGATGCAGAGAGAAATGAGATAGGTTGTGATGCAGAGTGGTATGAGATAGGTTGTGATGCAGAGTGGTATGAGATAGGTTGTGGGGCAGAGTAGTATGAGATAGGTTGTGAGGCAGAGTGGTATGAGATAGGTTGTGATGCAGAGTGGTATGAGATAGGTTGTGATGCAGAGTGGTATGAGATAGGTTGTGAGGCAGAGTGGTATGAGATAGGTTGGGATGCAGAGTGGTATGAGATAGGTTGTGATGCAGAGAGAAATGAGATAGGTTGTGATGCAGAGTGGTATGAGATAGGTTGTGGGGCAGAGTAGTATGAGATAGGTTGTGATGCAGAGTGGTATGAGATAGGTTGTGATGCAGAGTGGTATGAGATAGGTTGTGATGCAGAGTGGTATGAGATAGGTTGTGAGGCAGAGTGGTATGAGATAGGTTGTGAGGCAGAGTGGTAAGAGATAGTTTGTAATGCAGAGTGGTATGAGATAGGTTGTGATGTAGAGTGGTGTGAGATAGGTTGTGATGCAGAGTGGTATGAGATAGGTTGTGATGCAGAGTGGTATGAGATAGGTTGTGATGCAGAGTGGTATGAGATAGGTTGTGATGCAGCGTTGTTGAGATAGGTTGTGTTGAAGAGTGGTATGAGATAGGTTGGGATGCAGAGTGGTATGAGATAGGTTGTGATGCAGAGTGGTATGAGATAGATTGTGATGCAGAGTGGTATGAGATAGGTTGTGATGCAGAGTGGTATGAGATAGGTTGTGATGTAGAGTGGTGTGAGATAGGTTTTGATGCAGAGTGGTATGAGATAGGTTGTGATGCAGAGTGGTATGAGATATGTTGTGATGCAGCGTTGTCCATTTTTTGCCAAACAACCTCCGCCATGTACATCAGACCAACAGAAGTATGCAGAAAAAGGTCAATCATTGATTTAAACAAGGCGTAACTCTCAGACGATCCCATCTCGCAACAAACCAGTAGGCGTCGTAGACTCTACAAATGTCTCTTGCTAGAAAGTAGGTCTTGTGTGTTTTAAAAAGACTTAAAAGATATTTGTCGATAAAATGACTTTAGACGCTGTCCTAGAAAACAAAGGTTTTTAAATATTGAAAAATAAGTTGTTGTTTTTTTATCCATGATGAGTAAATAAATTTGGTCTTTAATAGTTTTTAAACTACCTACAAGAAATATTTCAGTTTATTAAATCACTTAGTTCTAAGTAGGCCAACGAAACCCTTTAGAAAATAACTACCTGTTAAAAGTGGACGTATTAATAAGGAAACACAAATAATGCAATTTTTAAAAAAATATTGATTGTGGAAAATTATTTTTATAAAACCAATATTGTATTTGAACTGAGGTTTATTTAAATATTAGAGTATAGTTTTCATTTTTATGCTCGATTTTTAAATCAATTATTTCTTACGTTTTTTTTGTAAAGATAAAAACAACTTTTAAAAAAAAATATTAAAATTACAAAACTATGTAACGCTACGTAACAAGTATAGGGGCCTTTTGGTAATAATAACCTCATCTCATATGGAACTAGGCCCTCCAATGACCATTACTTTTTTTTTAAAAAAATATTTAATGAACAAAAGTCTTGAGGACTGTCTTTAGGTCTATTTTTTTAAGGCCCATGAGTGATATTAATATGATAACGACACACCCGCTTTAAAAGGGCAAATCTATTTCAACAACTAATACAGAAGACAAAAAAAAAAATATTACGTACTTTGGAATTTAAAAAAAAAAAAGAATCTAATTTAGCGGTAATTTCCCTTTTTTTCCCCAAATGAAAAACACAACAACAAAAAACTGATTTTTATGGGGTGGTGGTTGAAAAGTGGGGCTTCACATTTTAAAGAATTTTTCGTCATAGGCAAGGGGCCTATGTGCCATATTTTTTTAAGGCCCATGAGTGATATTAATATGATAAAGACACACCCGCTTTAAAAGGGCAAATCTATTTCAAAAACTAATACAAAAGACAAAAAAAAAAATAATACGTACTTTGGAATTTAAAAAAAAAAAAAGAATCTAATTTAGCGGTAATTTCCCTTTTTTTCCCCACATGAAAAACACAACAACAAACAACTGATTTTTATGGGCTGGTGGTTGAAAAGTGGGGCTTCACATTTTAAAGAATTTTTCGTCATAGGCAAGGGGCCTATGTGCCGATTTCAGCTCGTGAAGTTGATGGGAAGTGGGTAAACTAGTCATTCGAAGATTTTGCCTGTCCGCAAACAAGCAAGACAGCCGCGAACAAAACCAAAGTTTACATAAAGGATTTAAAAACAAAGTAGGTTAAATTTAATACTTTATCTTAATACGCATAATGGAAGCACAAAAAAAAAAGGAACGTCTAACAAACAAGCACAATGGGATTAAACGTTTTTAAGATGTTATTATAACGCCATAATAACATCTCTTGTTCAAATCTACAAACAGTTTCCATTTCTCAAAAGAAAATGTTTAGGTCGAATTATTGTTATGCCTATTCTTAATGATCTACATTCAGTTTGTGTGTATTATTGAATAGAAATACGTCGACTCTGGTCGGGCTCACTTTGTTTATCTTTTAAATACATTTGTGTATTTCTTCATAGACAGCATTCTATCATTATAAAACACTAGAATGTAAAAATCATGATACATCGCCTTGAAATACCTTGAATTGTTTTTCCCAAGTCATCAAATTATATGTTTTTAGGGTCAAAGGTCCGAAAGAGTCTTTTGAAAAATTAATGATTTACGCCAGGCAGATGTTTAATTGATAGTGCTATCCAAAATCATCATATTGATTTTATGACACGTTCAATGTATCGTCTTCCGGCATAATAAAGATGTCAGTGGACGTTGTAATTTCTGTCGCCTGTTTCTTCTTGCGTATAATTGTCTTGTCTCATGTGATTAAGTCCGGAAGGAGTATTTTAAAAGGTGGCCAGGTTGTAGTTGCCGAGGCACAACGATGTGGGTTCTGGATGTTTATCTCTCACGGACTTAAACTTAAGTGGAGGTAAGGGTTTTGTTCCACTTTTTCCACACTAGTTAGACGTGAGTAACAAATACGTTAGTTACTAACTCTATACGTTCGTCCACCTTTTTTTGAACAACAGGGTAGCCTTATCATGAACGGCTCCTACGTTTCTTTTCCTTCCTTTTCGAATTTGTTTGACGGATATTTGGTTTGTGTGTAAACTCGATTCCAGTGAAAACAACGCTACTCAAACTGGAACAGTTCTGTGTTTCAACAAAACAAATCATAGTAAAATGTATTCTTTAATCTGATGAATCTGTTCCTTTCAATTCACGGTATCATCACCCAATTCATGTTATCTGTTCCTTTCAATTCACGGTATCATCACCCAATTCATGTTATCTGTTCCTTTCAATTCACGGTATCATCACCCAATTCATGTTATCTGTTCCTTTCAATTCACGGTATCATCACCCAATTCATGTTATCTGTTCCTTTCAATTCACGGTATCATCACCCAATTCATGTTATCTGTTCCTTTCAATTCACGGTATCATCACCCAATTCATGTTATCTGTTCCTTTCAATTCACGGTATCATCACCCAATTCATGTTATCTGTTCCTTTCAATTCACGGTATCATCACCCAATTCATGTTATCTGTTCCTTTCAATTCACGGTATCATCACCCAATTCATGTTATCTGTTCCTTTCAATTCACGGTATCATCACCCAATTCATGTTATCTGTTCCTTTCAATTCACGGTATCATCACCCAATTCATGTTATCTGTTCCTTTCAATTCACGGTATCATCACCCAATTCATGTTATCTGTTCCTTTCAATTCACGGTATCATCACCCAATTCATGTTATCTGTTCCTTTCAATTCACGGTATCATCACCCAATTCATGTTATCTGTTCCTTTCAATTCACGGTATCATCACCCAATTCATGTTATCTGTTCCTTTCAATTCACGGTATCATCACCCAATTCATGTTATCTGTTCCTTTCAATTCACGGTATCATCACCCAATTCATGTTATCTGTTCCTTTCAATTCACGGTATCATCACCCAATTCATGTTATCTGTTCCTTTCAATTCACGGTATCATCACCCAATTCATGTTATCTGTTCCTTTCAATTCACGGTATCATCACCCAATTCATGTTATCTGTTCCTTTCAATTCACGGTATCATCACCCAATTCATGTTATCTGTTCCTTTCAATTCACGGTATCATCACCCAATTCATGTTATCTGTTCCTTTCAATTCACGGTATCATCACTCAATTCATGTTGTCTGTTCCTTTCAATTCACGGTATCATCACCCAATTCATGTTATCTGTTCCTTTCAATTCACGGTATCATCACCCAATTCATGTTATCTGTTCCTTTCAATTCACGGTATCATCACCCAATTCATGTTATCTGTGCCTTTCAATTCACGGTATCATCACCCAATTCATCTTATCTGTTCCTTTCAATTCACGGTATCATCACCCAATTCATGTTATCTGTTCCTTTCAATTCACAGTATCATCACCCAATTCATGTTATCTGTTCCTTTCAATTCACGGTATCATCACCCAATTCATGTTATCTGTTCCTTTCAATTCACGGTATCATCACCCAATTCATCTTATCTGTTCCTTTCAATTCACGGTATCATCACCCAATTCATGTTATCTGTTCCTTTCAATTCACGGTATCATCACCCAATTCATGTTATCTGTTCCTTTCAATTCACGGTATCATCACCCAATTCATCTTATCTGTTCCTTTCAATTCACGGTATCATCACCCAATTCATCTTATCTGTTCCTTTCAATTCACGGTATCATCACCCAATTCATCTTATCATCACCCAATTCACGGTATCATCACCCAATTCATCTTATCTTATTGAAAAGATTGAAAACAATCATAAACATTTATATTAAAGCATAACCAAACCAATCGAATTTTTTTCTGACAATAAAACGGTTTGTACCTCTAAGTTGTCGGAATGCAAAAAAACTACATAACGACTCCGAAGACAAGAAATGAAAAAAAACTAAAATGATAAGTTAAAGGTGACAAAAAAATTAATTTCTTTGAAAATTAAAAAAAAAAAAATTTGCAAGTTGCTTTGTGGTTGAAGCAAGACTAAAAGTCATTGAATTTTTTTTTTTAAATCAGAAAACATTGTGATCAATAACTTTAATTTATTTATAAACCACAAAGTTCCCATTAACTACTTTAGATGTACGCAGATAGAAATACAGTGGAACCTCTCATAACGAGGTTAATTCATTCCAGACTCTTACTCGTTAAGCGAAACACTCGTTAAACAAAACAATTTTTCCCATACAAATCAATGTAAAATACGATATTGCGTTCCATGCTGAAAAGATACCAATTTTTCAAAAAATTTTATCAACATTAATTCAAATAAAATTACTTATGAATTCTTAAGGAATACAATTTAGATTAGAAACAGAAAACGTAAATAAAAATATGAATTTATGAAAAATAATTAATCCTTTTTAACTAGAAAACTGTCTCAAGCCATTTGTTTTTGCCGACGCTTAAAAATTTGACGAAAATGTGTCACAGCATTATCATTGAATAAATTTGTACCACGAATAGCCACCTCCTTATTAGGGTGATGCTTCTCAATGTACGATGCAACAGTTTCCCACGCTTTCAGCATTTCTCTTATTGGGCTAGAAGATTGTTCCTCTGCTCTTTCCTCCTCCATTAATGAGCTCTCCTCCATAATTTCTTGCTGTGAAACACGATGCAACTCCATAAGCTCTTCGGTGGTCAACTCTTGACTGTGCTCTTTCACGAGCTCTTCAATATCGTTGTTGTCCACCTCGAGTCCCATGATATTGGCCAATGACACAATCTCTTTAACTGTAGACTCCACAGGTACTGTTTCACTATCACATTCAACAAAACTCTCAGGCCAAAGTTTTTTCCAAGCAGAAAAGAGGGGAAAAGGGACTTCCCCTTTCTGCGTAACTCGTTATGGGAAATGTCGCTCGTTAAGGGAGCAACTTCTTCACATTTTGTTTTGCTCGTTATGCGAATTACTCGTTATGAGGTGCTCGTTATGAGAGGTTCCACTGTAGTGTTATTGCAGACTGCAAGCTCATCAATTTTGTTGTACTTTTTGGAGTCTAATAAAGGCCTACATGTGTGATATAAAGTCAGATTTAAAAATGTGTTATTTAAAAAAATAAATAAACCTGTATCGGAAACCATCTTAAAACTATTTTACAAAAAATAGAACTATTTGACAGTAAGACATACATTTATATTAATACTTATGAAACTATGAATATTTAACACATAAGGAAATAAATTTTATTTTAAGTTCATTAGTTAAGGCAAGTGTAAATACGTGACATAATTTTTATGTTTTGCTATTGAGATTTCAAGAGTAAAACTATGACTTCTCTATTTAAAGTAGGTTTGCGATCGTCACTTGGAAATACACACCATGCCAAAAACGTGTCTATGTGCTTTATTATATCGTAAGTTATTTTTACAATTAAAAAAAAATTAATTTAAATTTTGAATTGATTGTATTATATATATATATACTGGAGTTAGGTTAAAAATGTACAGACCTTATTTTTTTTTTTTTAAAGATGAGTAATGTATGGCTATGAACATAAAAATGTCATTTTCCTCGTTTTTTTAAATAACTTATTTTAAAGCCAAACGGTAAATAAGTGTCTCTCACGGGCAATAAAGAGGCTGGAAAATAGATTTAAATATTAGGAGAAGCTTAATGATGAAACAGTGCACTGGCAGAATATAAGGCTTATCACTATTGATGTATTTTATCATAACTTATTGTATTTAAGTTAAATCCAGCCTATGATGTAGCACCCCACCACCAAGACTACCCTATGAAATTTTTAATTTCTTATTTTTTTAAATTTTATTATTATTTTTTTTTAAATTTGATAATGGTTTGTTATGTTTAGTATTGAATTGTAATACTTTTGATGCATACTGAAGAGGAATGGTTTGGTTAAAAGCCATTTATCCCAAATAACAAACTGAAAAGACAATCTTTTGGCATGTGGGGGGGGGGGTCAAGGATGAATGACGTTTTGACCAACAACAAACAACATGGACGATTACCTGCTATATACTGTAAAATCAAAATACTGTAAAACAAAATCAAAACTAGAAAACGTTTTCACGGAAAGGTATTTTTCTAATAGTGTTATCAGATTGGAAAAAATATTGTTTATAATATCGATTGATACTCAAGACGTGTATGTCGTTGTTCTTTAAATGAATTGATATACATACTTTTTTAAAAGATATTTCAAGCAATTAGAATTGACAAAGAACTATAATTGTGAGTAAAAATAGAAAATGAGAAGCACTAAATCTCTGTTACGCACTGGTTTCTATTGCGAGAAATTAATCTCTTGTTTTATGTTATGGCTCGTTCCAACAGTGTCTAACAAAGGACGATATCACAGTGAAATACAATAACAAAAATACGACGCCGAAAACAGTAATAAAATTTATTTTAGTAATAATACAATTATAAAACAAAAGAAATATAATTACAAATGATCAATTTACAGATTGTGGTAGATCTTGTACCGGTACACAGTTAGTACAATGTGCCAATTAATAATGTACAATGACGAAATGCGAATAAACACATATATAAGAACACAAAGAATAATACACGTCTCGTTAAGTTTAAAATATCTATCAATCTCCGTCCTCTCTGTGCCTGTCAATCCCTTTTATATGTGAGTCTACCGACGCGTCTAGAAACGCCCTTACTTTTCTAATTCAATCGAGAGCCTTCGAAAAGATACTAGTAGACCTACTAAACATGTTTAATTGGAAGCCAGTAGTAAACAAGATACATCAAACGAATAGGCCACGCCCAGAACAAACGCTACCGTCTGCTAGAGATCTAATGTGGGGTGAAACAAAGTTCAAGCACGGGAAAAGTGTACTACAAAGCAATCTCTTTTTTATTTTGCAGTAAAAACAGTAATTTTTTTTAAATTGAATTTTATTTCTCTTTTTATTCTACAGTTTCCTTGATTAACGACACAGTATTGCAGTACTCATTCATCAATGAAAAATGTAGTTTCCTCAAATCCAAGCAAAGCTTCAGGACCACAATAATAGGTGCTCAATGGACTGTCGCTTCGAAAATTAAATGTCTCGCAAAATGCCTTGAAATGTAAATTTTTTTTTTCTATAAATCTCAAAATAATTTAAATTTTATATATGTGTTTGTGTTTTTGTGTATGTGTGTGAGGTGTGATTTTTAAGGACATACATGTTCGATGTAATAAAAATATAACATAGCATACATTCAAAAAAAAAAATGTGTCCGTTGTAATAGTTAACTTAAGATGGTGGTTTTGACATTTTTCTTCCCAACTATAATGTTAAAGTAACCAGCACTAAGCATGACACAGTTGCTCTGTTTATAAACATGCTGCAATTTTTGTTTGTATAAAAAATGTAGCATGAGTTAATAGCAATAGCATCTGAATAACAGCACATTTGTGTCTTTAAAGAACACAGCACATTTCATATGATTATTCGATAACCATTTTTACTTCACTTCACCTCAATGTTTTTCGCTGGTTATGGTCGGAATTCTTGAAGCCCATATATATGTCTAATGTCCCGATCAACTAGAGAACAATATTTCTTGCACGCTACTTGTTTCTTACGTCCAATTTCGGTGTGACAATGTTTGAATGTCCAGTATGGTTGACGACTGCAAAGTTATTTGCCGAAAAAAGTTATTAAAAAAAATAAATGATGCACAAATAATGGATGCAATAAAGTAATAGATGCAATAAAGTAATAGATGCAATAAAGTAATAGATGCAATAAAGTAATAGATGCATCGCTAATGAAACGAACCAGGAGAGACAACCTATGGAGAGAAAAAAAACATTTTATAAATTGAATTTCGAAGCGTACCTGTCAGAATTGGAATTTGAATGCCTTCAAAAAACATTCTGGAAACACCGTTTTTAGCTAAAGTTAAATATCAACTCTTCAATACATGTTGATAGCACAGTGTGCATTGCTTACCTTTATTCTAAAGCTACAGCGATAGCTGCCAAAGTTTCATGTACAACACAGCCACACTCAAGTGTACACCAGGTGCTAACGTACAAGATGGTTTATTTAGCGCAACCAGTGCAGATGAGGAACTCTACGTGAAGTACCCAAATTTCAGGTGAAACTTTGTCATTAAAGAATCATTTAATATATATATATATATATATATATATATATATATATATATATATTATTATTATCTGCTAAACATAACCAAAGATTAAAATTCGGTCGATTTAATTAAAAACTAAATGCGTATACATTTATTTTTAAAAGAGGTAATTTATCAAATTGATTTTATAAAAAGCTATTTTATCAAATTGAATTCTACAATGTTCCAATCAACAAAAAAAAAAAAAAAAAAAAAAAAAAAAAAAAAAAGAAATATTCTTTTTAAAACGATTTGTAACTTTATTTTATTTATTTTTTAAATTTGCTAAAGATTTTTGTTAAAACTCCTACATTTTAAAATGTAGTTAATTTAACAATGTTTTCATTTATATATTGGGCTACTAACTAAGCGTTACAATAAACTGTAACATTTCTCATAATATATGAAGTTATCACTTCAATAAAAACATTCCCGGAGTTCGTCTCAAAACTGATGAAAGACCTACACAATGTGCTCAACATTTCGTAAATACTTGTTTGTCGAATTTGAATTTTTCTCTCTGTTTTCTATGACAGAGTCCAAAGCTATTTGTCGACAAGTATCTGTGCAATATTTTTCAACGGCCACAAGACCTACTCTGACGCCAGAGATATCTGCAGAGTGTACAACGCGCACTTGTTTGTCCCGAGATCGGCTGAGAGCTACGCCTTGTTTAAATCAATGATCGACCTCTCGCAAAATGCCTGGGTCGGCCTCAATGACGTAGATGTAACATGGAAGTACATGGCGGAAGATGATGGGCAAGAAATGGACATTAGTAGCATTCTAAGTTTGTTTGCACATGGTGGGCCCGACCATTATCAGCAACAGCACTGCATAACGACCTTTATCGAAAGCGAAGGGCAACTTGAGGATGAAGAATGTGACAGTAAAAATACTTTTGTTTGTCAGACAGAGTTCTCTAACTGTTAAAAAAAAACACCTAAAAAATGAGTCCATGAATTATACCCTTAACATTACAAGTGAACTGTCAAAGAATTCAGCACTAACTCATTAAAATTAAAAAGCAACAACTAAAAGCATAGTTTTTTTTCGTATAAATCCTTAATATGCATTTTTTTCCATATATGTATACCGTAAATGCGTAAAATTATGGCGAAAATACGTTTCATGTTTCCTTCATTAATCCTTATAGAATACATTACATTTTTACCCAAACTCATATCAAATGCAAAGCACATATGAACCCGTTAACAAACCATTAACATAACTCCATCTTGAAAAACAGAACAGCTGGTTTGGGGGGGGGGGCTGGATTAGGGAGTGTAAACATACGTGTTTTCATCCGCAAAGAGGTTTTGTGCCAAGTAATAACTCCATCTTGAAAAACAGAACAGCTGGTTTGGGGGGGGGGGGCTGGATTAGGGAGTGTAAACATACGTGTTTTCATCCGCAAAGAGGTTTTGTGCCAAGTTTCAGCGTGATAGGATGATTGGGAAGTGGGTCACTTAGCCTTACCAAGATTTTGTCACAAAAAAAAAAAAAACTTGACAAAAGCGTTTTTTTCTTAGGGTGGAAAATTTGATAGCATTTGCTGCCATCGGCAGAAAGTCTATGTGCAAGGTTTCAGCTAGATAGGATGACAGGAAGTAGATCAATTACGAAAATTTTGCTGGCAAATAAAAGGGAAGAGAAACACCTACCTGAACAGAAGCGCTGTTAATATTAAGGATTTTCAACCAAAAAAAAAAAGGTTTATGGGTAATGAAAATCCTTTTTTAAATTTTTAATTATAGCATTAAAAATAAAATAAAATAAAACTGTGAACTTTTATTACTCGTATTCAGATACTACATTTTCTTTCTGCTTGTTCTCCACACCTTTGTATATATCCCCTGTCTCTCTCACTTTCTCACTATTCACCCCTCTCTCTCACTGTCTCTCTCTCACTGTCTCTCTCTCACTGTCTCTCTCTCACTGTCTCTCTCTCACACTCTCTCTCGTCCAACATCGCCTTGTACTCTTTAAAAAAAATATAATGCTTTTGAGGAGCGTGGATTCTTGGATAGAAAAAAAAACGAATATGTCAAAGTTGTCGGCTTAAATAAAATTAATTCACACTGATGAAAAGACTTCATTTCTAGGAATAATTAAAATAATAACTTACGAAATGAAAATAATAACAGATCAAACGAAAAAAAAAAAGTAACCAGGAAACTTTGAGAATAACAGTTTTTTTAAAAAGAAATGTAATCATAGTATTTAGTATAAACAGAAATGAGTAAACTAACAAAATTGCTGCTGAAATAAATGTTAAAATGATTGTTTTTATCAATCAGTTTGTTTCAATTTGTTTTCTTTCTTAATTTGTTACCTTTGTGCCTTTATTTATATGTTCATATTACCAGCACTATTTGTATCGATTATTCTTTCTATTCTCCAGTACGAAATGTTTGTCTCTCCTTCCTTTTCATCTTGAGAGCCCACCATCAGTGCGTCGATCAACTGGCTCTTATGTAGGTAGAGGGGTTTCACAGTGTCTAGTTTCCATTAAACCAAGCAATTACAGCTAAATTATATATATTTAATTTGAAATATAGCTATATAAGAAAACTAAGAACATTATTTAACCAAGTATATAACACCTAAACAAAAAGAGGTGTTATATACTTGGTTAAATAAGACACTAAAGGACATAGGATAGTGCAGAATGTTTAATTATACAGATGTTTCTTATTTCAGATTCATTTGTTGGGGTTAAATGTAGTGACTTGAAATACTTTGGCTGGTCAAAATCTATGAATCAAGAGATTATCCCCGCAAATTCGATTATCATTGAGTTCGGACAACTGAACATGACGCATCATCTCATGTTTAACTTGTCTAGTCAGCGCAACATTGATTCTTTATTGACTAATGCTGTGTGAATGAGTAAACCTTAGAGGAACAGTACATTTCTAAAATTTGTTTTTAGTATTTGGGTCGGACAGTTGACAGTTAGAAGGAAGAATTTAATAGATAATGAAAGTAACGTTTCTCATCATGCCCTTTTATGTGTAGCACGGATGATTCTACTTCCTAGCGATGGATTTCTGTTGCCATAAAGCAAATATTTAGCAAACGTGAAGTGATAAATTAATTGCTATTGTAAGACTAAGTTATAAGTAAAGTAGATAATTTGTTTTTGGCTATGGCAACACCATTAAGACTACTGAGATTATGGAAGATGTGTTCATTCTGGTCTCAGCGTCTTTTATTGGTGCTGTTAAACAAAAAAAAAAAAAACAACTGTCATGGGAGTTAACCCACTCACTTTGTTTTATGAATGAATCGCTTTATGGGCGAGCAATTTTATAGGATATCCTTTTGCATAAATATAGTTACACAAATTGGTCTGACTATTTGTAAATTCTATAAGATAAAACAGTGGTGTGTGGTCAAGCGTGTCGACACTGTGGCATGCACACGTGGATTCAAACACACTAACATTCTAATCAAAACTAAGAACACGAGACAGAGGGGGCCCATTTAATAGGGGGGAGAAAAACTGACTAATAAAATCCACCGTTTTGATTCTACAAAATTATAGGTTAATAGTTTCGGGAGTAAGCCTTTACACTTAAGACTTAACACATGGTCAGTTCGGGGGTATGCGATTCTCTTCAATGACAATTTCCGGCAACTTTCTTGACTGATCAACTTTCCCAATCGTGCGGCAATCCTTATTGCTCGCCATCTGCTGTAGGAGTGGCTCATGCTGAGCGGAGAGCTGTTCAATGTTAATACAATCATCTCGCTAAGGTTGCGTAGATTCGCAAAGTGACTTCCAGGGAAACTACAACACCACATTTGACAGGATGACAAATTTGTTTTTTTTTTTTTTTTTTTTAAATATTCAGAACATTTCGTCACTAATATAAAATGTAAATATAATATCATCTTTTAATTAATTGAGCGTCTTATCTCTGAAAATGTCTAGTTTGAATCACAACCATGTGGCAACCGTTCGGATAAAGTGACTTCCAGGGAAACTACAACACCACATTTGACAGGATGACAAATTTGTTTTTTTTTTTTTTTTTAAATATTCAGAACATTTCGTCACTAATATAAAATGTAAATATAATATCATCTTTTAAGTAATTGAGCGTCTTATCTCTGAAAATGTCTTGTTTGAATCACAACCATGTGGCAACTGTTCGGATGCGACTGGCGTCGTACTCATCTGTCAGGAAAAGTCGACAATTCAGCCAGTGAGATAGCCAGATATTAGGCAATCGATGTTGATGGAGCATTTATAGAATAATATCCTTACACTAGTTTTCATGTAGTATGTTGTTAAAATTCTCATACCTCGTAAACGCTATTGCTAGAAAAGCCACTTTTAAATGAATGAGGCAAGATAATATTTTTTTTTCTTTCAAGACAGTTTTTAAAGTGATATCTCGGCTGTTTTCTAACTTAAAAAATATCTTTACAAATTAACAACACTCAAGAAAGATAAAAACTAAAGATCTATGTAAAACTGCGTATTAATTTGAAGGAAAAGTTAAGAAGTTTTAAGGGTCAAGGATTAGTTTCATAAAGCAAACCTGGGTCTTCAAGAAGGATGAGGTTCTTAGAAGGACATTTTTGGGTTGAAAATACGAATCGAGAGATTGATTTGAGCAGCACTCAAAACGTGATTTCCCCTGGTAAACCTGTAATTAAAGGAGGTTTATAAGAGTATATTAGACTATCCAGAGTGTATCTTTTTATGAGATGATGAGAAATTGATATGAGTATTTCGTTTGTTTGTGAGAAGAGTTCACCGAATATTTAAAAAAATGGGTTTATATATACTGCTAGGCAATCTTTTCAATGTCTAAATTCGATCACAATTTGGCTGAAATCGTCAAGCATTCTACATACAATGACTAGTCATTCCATTTCATGTATAAATTTTACAATTTTTCTGTAAAACTATCTCTTAGTTGTAAGGAAAAAAAATCTTACTTTAATATCACTGTTTTAATAAAGCTTTCACGAGTAGAAATATACTTGTATATATGACAATTATTTGATCTGTTTTTAACTTTTATCATAAATCGATCATCGTATTCACTCTTTGTTTAAAAAGTAAATAAATAAATACTACATGAAAAAAGCACTGTATGAACTGTAACTTTGCTTTTTAAAAAAATTAATGTAATTCTATAACTATATTTGTGATTTAGCATACATCCATTACGTTAGATACACACTGAAATGTATATGGTTAAGTGCAACTCATATTTTGATAGAAATCAACAATTAAATGCAAGGAGGAACAGCGTGTCTGTGGTGAAATTACCTCTTTTGTTAGGTGTGGGTGCATAACGATTTTATGAGTTCATCACCCGCTGATGTAATTTTAGTCACATTTTCATCTTACTTATCTTTTAACATCTTACAAGACTCAAAGTACAATATGAAGTCAAATAATTTTTAATAAGACCTTTCTTTTCTTCTCTCTAGAAACGTACTTAAAAAGTATGAAATAAATGTCCCCCAATAAAAAATTTTTAAGTTGTTACAGTGAGATGACCGAAAAAAAAAAGGTTTCCCATGAATTCAAATCGCAAAGACACGCACGTGTCGTGAGCGATGATTTCATTCCACTTGCCAAGTTCACGTTGAATGGAAGCACACCACAGTAATGCAAAGCAGTTGTGAGATCTCTTATTTCATGATTAAATCATTTCGATCATATCGATTGTGCCGTGGGGTAACACGGCCAAACAAACATTGTGTACAATTGCTGATAACATTTTATTTAACATGTCGAATGACGCCGGCGTATCTCATGGCCGCCCTACGCTACTGTAGTCAAATGATTGTTACAACTCTTAAGTTTTTTGTTTGTTGTTGTTTTTTTGTTTTTTTGAGGGGTGGCCATATTAAATCATCCATGTTAACTACGCTTTAGTTCGTGTGTTGCTGTGTTTAAGGCAAAATCTTTGGACGGCTCATTGTCTCCCTTCCCGCCATCTTATCAAACCGAAACCTGGCCCATAAACTCGTCGCCTAGGACACCATATTCTTTTAAATATTCAGCACAACGGCCCTTAACCACCACCACCCAACCCCCCAAAAAAACAGTTTTTCCTGCTCTTCAAAGGGAAGCTAAATGAAACTTAATAGTTTTTGTGTTTTGGTGTGGAGGTTAATTTTGTATTTGTTACGTATTTGGTTTTGCAATAAGAAATTACAACGTATTTTTGAAGCGAAAATGAAACGTGTTATTTTCCAGAAATTTACCCATACACGTAATTTATGTATTTTGTTAATACCCTTAGTACTCTTTTCGAAATTTATTTTTTTCCCCCTTTTCTACTTGTAATTTTTTTTTTTTTTATATTCCAGTGAAATTTTTTTAATTTTATTAAAAATTAAATAATAGCTAATCGAATTTGTTTTTAATAAGAAGAATTTTCAGAAAATAAGATGTTTGTACTTCATTTTACAATGAATGTGTATGCAAAATGAGGATTAAGTATTCGTATGTCTTTCTTTCTAAATTTCTTTTTAACTCTGTCTCTATGAATTTTTTAAGAAAAAAAGTATTCTAAGAATGTATAACATCAAAAAGGAAGTTAAGCTTTGTTTCTCTCTCTCTTGTTACCCGCTGTCAGCTAGTTGTATCAGCTCGTATTAAATTCAACTTTTATTTGTATGTTCATCTTGGGCTGATTTAAATTATTAAAATTTAAAAAAAAATTGTTTATTATAATAAAGCAGGATTTTAAGTTCCAAAATATAATAATTATGTTTAACCGTTTTACAATGTATAAAAAAATTTGGAATATCAATTTATATAATAAGTGTATCCTACATTATACATCATAGCTTCATATGTTTATATTAAAGAAAATAATAATAGCTCTGAGTAGCTTTTATATTAAACAATTTTAAAACATTTTTTGACCCTTAAAAATAAAACATCAATAAAAATAATTTCCATCTGGAATATTTTCAAGTTTAAAACAAACAAAAAACAGGATTAAAAACAAAACTGGACAAAAATGCAACCCAGAACTTTGAATTGAACAAAGACAAAAAAATGGTGTTTCTCTTATCTTAATTATGTGCCGGTTTGACATCATATGCCACTATTAAATTAAATATACTTATCAAGGCAACAGATATATTCTTTTAAAGAATAATCCTTAGAAAAATGAATTCAAATTAGAATTTAATTTTTTTTTTTTTAAAAATAAGTCTTGATCTAATAATCAATGACACATTAAATAATTTTACATAGTTCGAATGTTCGAGTATTTGACTACCCAAAAAATCGTGCAGTTCTATGAAGAACGTATTTCAAAGGAAAATAATAATTTGCATTATAACATTTTCATTAAATTTTTTCTTATGAGAGCGAAAATAGTGCTAAACAAGAGTTTAACAAATTTAATAACACCTTTTGATATTCACTGACTTTTCAAATAAGATATAGATAACAACAAATAGAAATAACAATAACATGCATTTGAAGGAAATGTTTCTGCCATGACGAGAAAGAGTTAGTACAATAAAAAAATTACAAACAATATGATACATTGCCGAGCCGTATGAAACAAATAGTTTGAAAGTAAGTTTCAATATAATCATTCTTAATTTTATGTTGTTACGTAAATACTTAATTTTGTGTTTAAAAATATTCGGGTTCAAGTTTTTCATATTCTCTTTTTGAGCGAAATGAAAGTATAAATAAATATTGTAAATAAAATTAACTAAATTTGACTGACACTGTTTGCGAAATAATTACTTGTGATTGATCACCAATATACGCGGTTGAATATTTAAGTATTTTTAAAACTCTATCTGTTTATTCCATTTCAATTTAATTATGACTCTCGTTATACTTAAAACATGACAAAAAATATTATAAATCATAAACAACTTGATAAATATATAAACTGAAAGCTTTCTATAAAAACAACTAATGTGTATATGTCATTTATGAATTCTAATCACTTCATTTCATGCTTAATAACTGTTCCTAATACATTCAAAATCAAAGCACTGAACTTGAAAATTAATCAGTAACAATTAACAATAAAAAATAGAAATTTATTTTGAATATATTCAGGGCTAAAATTGACGCAATAATTATTTTACAATCTCCAAAGTGCTTAATGAATAATGTTTACTTGTTTCTGTGTTGTTGTTGTTTTGTTTTTTTTACATTAAATAATCGGAATCATTATTTACATATGTAGTAAAATTGCAAAATTTTATGTAGATTCAATTGTAGAATTCTTTGGCTGAAAAGCTATCAATTATTCCGAAAATAAATTATGAAAATTGTAAGGTTTTTTGTTTGTTTTTTTCGGTCTCACAAACCTGATCTACATAGCATTCACTTTGATAAAAATATAATTTATTTTTGGAAGTACACACAATAGTGATGTGAGCTATAAAAAATATAAGACACCACGTGAAATTTCATGAATTAATAATGAATTAGAAATCTACAAGTAATACATATTTGAATGGGTTTTTTTTTCGCGTCGCTCCAATAGTTACTCCTCGTAATTCTAGCTTCGTCTAAGTATCATCCAGTCAAGAAAATTAATGACCATCAACAAATTGTACGTATATTAACTTTAAAAGTAGGCAGAAACAGAAATATGCTGCCATAGAAAAATATATATCATATTTTTAAACTTGTGCTCAAAACTGAACTAAAAAACGCAGCTTGATGTTTTATTGAAAAATAACCCAATGGCACTAGATTCACTTCTTCTTGATAAGCCCTTGAGTTAAATGATTCATATCTCTGTATTATATATTCATAAATTCTTGTTATTAGCTAAAAATGTCGAATAAATCATGCTAGTGGTCAAGCTTAAACAAGAAAGTGCAAAAAAAATATATATGTCAACGTTCAAGTGGAGATCAATATATGGCCATAGAGCTATTATTATAGTGCGCAGGAAATGTTTGAATAGTGAGGAGTCTATGCCATATAGCTATTATTACAGTTCGCAGGAAATGTTTGAACAATGAGGAGCCTAGGGCGTATAGAAAAGAACAATCATTGATCATTCAACAATATGAAAACATTATTTTAAGAGAAATATGGCAATGAACTGAGATTATTCTGTGATAACAAAAGTTTCCATCCATCAAGTTGATTATATAATGCTAATTTTACGTACAAGTTAACTAGCCACCATCAGGTGTTTACATTAAGACATATTTCTCTAAACTCTCTTTGTATAAATGTATAGATAAGAGTTTTCTTATTGGACGTTTTTGTTTCGATTGACAAGTCAATTTACAGAACAAACAAAATTACTTTAAAAAGCCGTCAGGCACTTATCATTTTCTTTCTTTTTAAATGCCACGCGACTTCACCTCTATAACTTAACTAGCCCCCTGATGCAGACTTATTCGTTTTGCCCATTCGTTGTTCACGGGAACACTGTATCATTTAAGCAATACTAATCAAGGGAGCCCCTGGCAGTATTCATATCTGTGTCAATACTGTACAACCTTTGGCGTTTAATTATTTAAATTTCGTAATTGTTTAATGCAATGTAAGAATGAAAGAATATTACTATTTACACGTATATATTTTAAATTTTCTAATGTTAAAACATTCTTGAACATCGACAATCAAAGCAACGATTTAAACATAAAAGTAAACCATAAAACCGAACAAGTGCACAAAACCGTGTTTGGTCTGATGTGGTCACTTTTGGCTTCTCCGTGTTTGGTCTGATGTGGTCACATTTGGCTTCCCCGTGTTTGGTCTGATGTGGTCACTTTTGGCTCCTGCGTGTTTGGTCTGATGTGGTCACATTTGGCTTCTCCGTGTTTGGTCTGATGTGGTCACATTTGGCTTTTATCATAAATCCATTAGCGTATTCACTCTTTGTTTAAAAACTAAAATAAAGACTGTAAAAAAGGGTAAAAAAATTCTAAATCGTTTTTAAATTCATTTCAATTTTTTTTCTTTTTAAGAACATACTAATTTTAAGAGTGATAAATAAAAAAAAAAAGATCAACTGTTTGAAGATTTTTTTTGTTTGTTTTGTTGCAAATGCCCTTCGGAAATACATATTATTAAAATTAAATCCGCTACTCAATTTTATCCAGTTAATAAAACTATTGCAGCGAGGATAACTATGCTTTTTAAACCTCCCGTTCAGCTTCATAGTGTCTAGCGTTATCTTAAAACCTGGGTTAGTTATCTTTGTCACGTAAATAAAACGATAATAGTTATTTACAATAAATGCTTTTAAGGCAGTGCGTATATTCTAGACAAGCTGAAGGATTTCTAATGGTTTATAAACTATTATATATACAAACGGGTTTTGATTCTATTATATATATATAAAGTCTAGTAATGTAATAAATACTGCAGGTATAGTTAAATTTTAAAAAATAATGCAGTAAATTAATATTTTTGAAGATAATTGTTGTGTTCATTTTTGTACATGAAAAACTATTTTTCAATTTATTTTAATGAAAAACTATTTTGTACAAAAATGTTGTGTTATCATTAAAAACATATTTATATGATTTCTTGAAATCGGAGCAGCATTAAAATAATTTTGATTTGTTCCTTGATCGACTGCAGTTTTGTCAGATCAACTGTGGTAAATTTTCGACTGCTTTATTTAATAATTGTATTTAGAGCTCCCATATTGTAACTTGGATTGGCTTCAACAGTATATCGTGCTACAGTCTTACGGTTCCTGCTTTCTCTGTAATACCTGGATCTATGAAGACGGTTTATAGGATGTTTGGCGTTTTAGGTATAAATATTTAATAAAGAAACATACATGTCATTTTCTATTTTTTTATGTTATTATGTATAAATACATTTCTTCTTCACAGATAAAGAGATCGTGTCTACATTTTGTAGAAAAGAAGGAAACGCAAAATCTGTCAGTCAAGCAAGAGAGAAAGGTAGAATTCTAAAGCAAAACAAGTTTTGTCGCGACATAGTCAACCAAGATGGCAAATACTAACTTAAAAAATGCAACTGCTGTCGTCAGTGTTACCGATGATATAAGTGCGGAAGGTTTGATTATTTCAAACATTGTAATTAACTGCGTGTTGAACAACGTCTTGTGCTCCCTTGGCGTCGTCGGAAATGGCATTAACGTCGTCGTACTCTCCAGCCCCAAGTTCAGGGACACGACGAGTTTCCTCCTGCTGAGCCTGTCGGTGGCTGACTTTTTCGCCTCGGTGACCGAATTGCTTTTTAGGCTCCCGAATGTCATCATGTACTTTCAGCTCAGGCTGGCAGATGCCGTGTTTTGTTTTTACATGACGTACATCTACTTTTGGAATCTTCACTTTGTGTATGTCAGTATTTTTTATGTATCGTTGGTAGCTGTTGAGCGCATGATTGCAGTTTGTTTCCCATTTCATGTTGCGAGCCTGGTGACTATGTTCCGCGTAAAATTTATCACCGTTACGGGGTTCATGTTTTACGCTGCACTGTTCTCTCCTAACCTAAACATGCTGTACACCATCCGATCTTACGACAGAAACAATGAAACAAGCTTAAGAATGGCTTATACAGATTTCTACAAAGAAAATTATGAGCTCCTAATTGTTTACAGACAAGCTGTCTCGATACTCTTCGTTTACGCACTTCCGATTCTAACAATAACTGTGTGTACTGCGATGGTAACAAGCGCCATGGCTTTGAACTGGAGAAATCTAAAGAAACTCTCTTCAAGCCATTCGGCTAAAAGACTTAAGGAAATGAAGTCATCAAAAACTGCGCTGTGTGTTTGCCTTTCGATGGCGGTCTTTATTTTAATACCATCATTCGTCTTCGATATGCTGAGTGTGTTTAGAGAAGACTTATTCCCTCAAAATAGAAACAGATCAACTGTTATATACTATGCGATGACGTTGATTTACGAGTTGAACTCCTTTTTAAACTTTATCATTTACGTCGCCACTAGCTCCAAATTTGCCAGAGAGTTTAAGGAATTATTTTTTTGCACTTGTAATAATCAACGAAAGAAACGATTTTAAAAGAACTTTTCTAAAAAACCAAAATAATTTTATCATTATTTAAAAAATGCACTTGTATAAACTCAATCTTTTCTTTTCGTAAAACAGTATGATTTTTGTTGTTTCTTTTCGTAAAACAGTATGATTTTTGTTGTTTCTTTTTGTAGTTGCATTTTTTCGAAAATTTGGACTAAGAGCAATCCAACTAATATTTTTATTAGAAAATGAATATATATTATAAATTTAAATATATTAAAAATTTAATTTTTATATTAAGGCTTTTATAAATGTGTGTCTAATGTATCTTGATATGTATATACATTTATATTCTAAAACATATGGCCGATGCTACTGGGATAATAATGGTTAGCAGTTTGGGGTACTTTCCATATTAATCTACCATATAATATTAACATCCCAAACCCTTTTCGCTCATATGAATTATACATGTTTTCTGTAGAAGTTGTGAAAACATATCCTAAAATTTATAATAAAACGTATAAACCAATTTTAATTTCTTTTGTTTAACGCAATTCGATATTTTGGTATCGTCATTAAAAACTTCACACGATCAACGCTTCTATACTATATTATGGGAACATTGCCAAACACAGTGTTCTCTTTATTGTAAAGGAGACTCTTTAAGATCATGTAAGAGCATTTTGTGCTTGCATGAAAAATTATTAATCTTGTAAGTCTTAGACCCACCTTTTTCAATAACTTACCTTGAAACTTGGGTAAAATATATATTGTCATATTTTGTTACAGAAAACTTTAAACAATCAACAATTACGATAAGAGGAAAAAATGGCTATAATTTTAAGATTAAATTTTCACGAATGTATCATGATGGGTAGTTATTTTTTAGGTATGGCTATACTAATGTAAAAGTACCCGCGGTATTGTTAACTATCTTGAATTATACTGTCTAAATTGGTAAAAAGTGTGTTTAATTTTTTAAAGAAAAAGTAACACCTTCTTGTTTACGATTTGTATTCTATTTTTGATGAAAGAACAACATCAAGTTGTACACAATCTATCCAATCTAATTGATATGTCTTTAACGAAGGAGGTTATTTATTTATCAAATTCACTTTTTGATTATTAGAGGTATCTTGTGGTAGGTGGGGCAAAATGAAAATATCTATTCCTCCTCCCCAGCTTCTTTGAATATACATTTAAAAAAATCATCTGCGGGATGAAAGCTCCCTGTTTATGAAAACACACATTCTTTGCACGGCCCTGAACTATATAAACAATATAAATCTCAAACACACATTCTTTGCACGGCCCTGAACTATATAAACATTATAAATCTCAAACACACATTCTTTGCACGGCCCTGAACTATATAAACATTATAAATCTCAAACACACATTCTTTGCACGGCCCTGAACTATATAAACATTATAAATCTCAAACACACATTCTTTGCACGGCCCTGAACTATATAAACATTATAAATCTCAAACACACATTCTTTGCACGGCCCTGAACTATATAAACATTATAAATCTCAAACACACATTCTTTGCACGGCCCTGAACTATATAAACATTATAAATCTCAAATACACATTCTTTGCACGGCCCTGAACTATATAAACATTATAAATCTCAAACACACATTCTTTGCACGGCCCTGAACTATATAAACATTATAAATCTCAAACACACATTCTTTGCACGGCCCTGAACTATATAAACATTATAAATCTCAAACACACATTCTTTGCACGGCCCTGAACTATATAAACATTATAAATCTCAAATACACATTCTTTGCACGGCCCTGAACTATATAAACATTATAAATCTCAAACACACATTCTTTGCACGGCCCTGAACTATATAAACATTATAAATCTCAAACACACATTCTTTGCACGGCCCTGAACTATATAAACATTATAAATCTCAAATACACATTCTTTGCACGGCCCTGAACTATATAAACATTATAAATCTCAAACACACATTCTTTGCACGGCCCTGAACTATATAAACATTATAAATCTCAAACACACATTCTTTGCACGGCCCTGAACTATATAAACATTATAAATCTCAAATACACATTCTTTGCACGGCCCTGAACTATATAAACATTATAAATCTCAAACACACATTCTTTGCACGGCCCTGAACTATATAAACATTATAAATCTCAAACACACATTCTTTGCACGGCCCTGAACTATATAAACATTATAAATCTCAAACACACATTCTTTGCACGGCCCTGAATTATATAAACATTATAAATCTCAAACACCATTGTAGCACGTTTCTTTCATATCTTCGCATAATTTCGTGTAATGAATAATTATGTTTATTTATTTGAACATTAAAATATACACCAAAGTTCAAATCGGTCACATGATAGTGTTTTAAGATAGTGATATCAATTTAAAACTATGGTTTGATCTTATTTGTATGAGTGAGAAATAATTTAGTGACTGGTATTTTGTTATGAATTTTCGATGCACTAATAACTATTGTCTTCAAAGTCATTTTCTTATGAAAATTATTTTTACAAAATATTGATGACGTTTTTTAAAATTTGGAATTAAGCGAATAAGTAGACTTATTAAATGTTACAAAATACAACGCTAAAATTTCGCATGGTTTGTTAGAAATTTTTTTAAAAAAAAAATGTGTTTATTATTATTTTTTTTTTAAAAGGTAAAAGTACAAGTCAGTTTTGTCACGCTCGGTTATGAACTGAAGGAAATGTAAAGCTACTGAATTTCTTGTCAATTTAAGTTCTTAGTAAATTAATGTATTTTTTTAAAAAAAGGTGTTCAATCGAAGATTATAATTTTATATTGTTTAAAGACATTTAGTCAGTAAGATCAGTGACATTTTAATTTAATTTCGCAATATTAACAAGGCACTAAAAATGGGACGTTTTGGTTTTCCCGATAAATGTGATTATGATTTAATACAAATAATTCTCAGATTGAGATCATAATTTATTGATACAAAAATAACATAACATTCAAATACGGATAAAATGCTTAAAACAGTTTTGAATCGTTATTTAACATGCATTTGTAATATATAATAACAATGCTTAAACGTATAATAAAAGCCGAGAAGAAAAGGTTCAAACATATAAATATTTAAGAAAATGTCAACTAGCTTTCTCTGTTAAAGGTAAACATTTCATTTCTTTTAATGAGTTGTTTTATTGTCTGCAGTTCTGGCTCTTCGCATGAACAAACAATTTGTAAATAAGCCCTTACGTATCCTCAAATCCAAAATGAGCTGCAGCATAAATATTTTCGGAAGCGAAAATAGCTACTTCAAAAATTCATTGTTTTCCATTGCCTAACAAAGTAGAATAATAACATATTTCCAGTGAAATAATAACATGTTTCCAGTAAAATAATAACATTTTTCAGTTAAATAATAACATACTTGCAGTAAAATAAAAACATATTTGCAGTAAAAAAAAAAAAAATAAATAAATAAATGTATATNTATATATGTATGTATATATATATATATATTCAATTCCGGTTAGCGCCAGTGTCCCTGGTAGACTTAATTTTAAATTTTTTTTAATTTTTAATTTTTTTTTTTCTTTGCAACTTAATGATTTGCTGATAGCGATCAATTTTCAGATGGTCACTTTGAATCGATCTGCTCTTTTGTGCAATTAAGTAGTCCTTGAGTCGAATCATTTGTTAGTTTTAATATTCAAATTAGTCTATTTTACACATTCTCTCGGCACTTATTTAAATAAATAAAAACTAATCTTTTTAAATAAAATTAAAGATAAAACATAAAGCCAATTAAGTACTCTTTGACCAAACTAAAATCGTACAGTTCTCTGAAGAAATAATTTTAAAGAAAAATATTATGAAACATTAAAATATTTTTATTATTATATGTATAAGAGTGAAGATAGAACTAAACAATTTTTTAACACATTTAACAAGCTGGAGAGGAAGTTGTCTTCCTATTCACTGACTTTTCAAATAAGATATAGATAACAACAAACAGAAATAACAATACCATGCATTTGAAGGAAATGTTTCTGCCATGACGAGAAAGAATTATTACAATAAAAAAACTTACACACAATATGATACATTGCCGAGCCGTATGAAACAAATATTTTTAAAGTAAGTTTAAATGTAATCAGTCCTAATTTTATATTTTTACGTACATACTTGTACCTGTGATTAAACGTAACTGAGTTCAACTTTTTCATATTCTTTTGTTTTTGATTGAGTGAAATTGAGGTATCAATAAGAAATAAATTTTCATAATTGGATGACACTGTTTGAGAAATAGTTATTTAAATTGATAGCAAAAATAAGCGGTTGAATATTGAAGTATATTTTCCCTTATTTTTGTTTATTTTGATATCGAATTAACTATGATTCTCGTTATATTTAAACATGATTACATTATTATTATAACATTTTAATCATTGTGATAAATTAATAAACTTAAGTTGTTATAAAAAGTAATGATTTTATTTCATTTATGAATTCAAATAATTTCATTTTATGTTTAACAACTGCTCGTAATACATCCAATTAAACACAAATCTTAACGTTGAAATTAATCAGTAAACAATAAGATTAAGAAGTAGAAAAGTACTTTGAATATAGTCAGTGCTAAATTGGACGAACTATTTATTTTACAATATCCAAAGTATTAAGGTAACGTTTACTTATTTTTGTCTATAAAATATCAGACACAACGTGAAATTTCATGGTTTAAAACACTTCTTTAATTATTATACAAAATATTGTTTTTTTTTTAAAAAATTAATAACACTTAAGCATGTAATTTAATATAAGTAAAGTTATTTTATTTTTATGATGATTATATTAATTCAATTTTCGTAAAAAAAAAAAAATTATCTACCATTTTATTTAAGAACCCGAGCGTATTTTTAAAATAGATTCGTTTTTTCATGTTGCATTAATGACCTAATTCATTTATAATAGAATATATGACCT